ACACATACATACATACATGCATACATTCATACATACAAACACACACACACACACACACACACACACTGTTGCTTTGCAAAGACCAGGTGGAGAGAAAAAAAAAACAGCAAACAGGCGAAATGGGTTCTTTCAATTCACTACACATCCCGCAACGCAGTTCTCCATGAATCCCCTTAGCACATCAGTCTACCAAGAGCCGCTGTCATCTCCCCTTAACCCTCATCGCCAGCGATCGCTCTGCTCCTCAGAGCCTGTGTGTGTATGCTGGCCGCCAGAAAGTCTTCTCCCGGACCCAACACGACGGCCCAGTACTTGCACCGATATCCGTAGCGTCTCGTGCAGTGCGAAAATGCTTTGACGTCATAAGCCAGGTGGTCCAGGTTGATGAGCTGGACAAACTCAAGCTCCTCCCGTACGAGCCCGTATATGAAGACGTCATCAAGCCACAGATATTGGGTGGCCCTGGCTACCTGAAAAGGGAAAATAAATTATCACTGATAATGTTACCCTAATGCATCGTTAAGTCAACTTAACGAAATTTAATGGATCCGGCCAATTGTAATATTTGCTGATGAGCCATACTTTTCTAAGATAATTGGATTTATGAAAAATGGAAAAAAAAACTAAATCGAAATACAACTCATCTTCTCCAGAAATGAAAAGCGTTACACATTGTGTAAATTATGATATTCGAACAGAGCGGCATGACCCTGTTATACCAGGACATACGACTATTTGTCATTATTTCTGAGTTGTCCGCTTTTTTGTTTTGATTTATAATGTTTCTGTTATTGTTGACAGCTTGGTCTTTTTGTGGTGGGGTGAGGAAGGGGGGATCGGGTGGGGGAGGGTTTTTTTTTTACCTATACCTCTGCAGTTTTAAGCGAACAAAATGAAAGATTATGGCAATTTCTCCCACCTGATAAATGTCCTCCACGAGATGAGGCATGACCACGACCAGAAAGCCGCTGCAGTAGGGCGGGAAGACATTGCCCTGGAACTCCTTGTAAGGTACACCCCACTTGCCCTCTCTCTCCACCTCCGGGTAGGGCCAGACGTGACAGAATATGACATCCTGCTGGTGTGCAGGCGGCGGCCAGAACTCCTGCGTACGACACAGACAAATTACATCAACAACTTTTGGTCAATTTTTACTTTAGCCACATCTACAAATAATGTTCAAAGGCATAGGAGTATGGGTAGAAGTCTACTAAAGTTCGTTTTAAACGGATCTTACCTCAGATTCGGTCTAGATATATCTCAACTCCAACTCCTTCTTGACTCAAGTTCAGTGTAAATGTATCTCGACTCAAGTTCGTTCTCAGTCTCGTTTTAACCGTATGTCACCTCTACAGCTGGTTGTAAGTCTACCTCAACAAAATCTCGTTCTATTTCAACTCAAGCTCATTCTAGACACGTCTCAACTCAAGCTCCTTCTAGACACGTCTCAACTCAAGCTCCTTCTAAACTTGGCCCAATTCAAGTTAGTTCTAAACGAGGTTCAACGTAGTTCGTTCTACCTCGATCTCCATTAAAACAAATTATCTCAACTCAAACTCGTCCTAACTCAATTTCGTTGTAAACGTATTTTTTTAAGCTCATGCTTGTTCTTAACATAACAATTTCAACGACAGATCGTTATGAACGTATCTCAACATTACGCTACATCAGAATTACAAAGTTCTATCTTCTTAGTACCTAGTTTTGAGGAATTAAACATAAAACAAATTGAATTTCACAAAATGTCAAGCTTTTTCGAAAGAAGTTTTTCAAATATCTTGATAACGGCTACGAACAATCTTACCATTTTAATAGAGCAAAATAGAACGTTTAGTTTCTGACTTCATGGTTCCAGTAGCTCAAAAGGGTAAAAAATGTCAGATAGAACTTTGAAATTCTAAGGCAGCGATTCCTCAGGCCCAGTTACCTGAAAGAACCTGTGAACGTCGAGCAGCACATCGTCATCAATTTTCAGCACGACTTTGGCCCCGCGGCAGCTCTCGGCCAGCCATCTGTACACGCCCACGGCCTTTAGCGTCAGGTTCCGGTAGTGGTCCACGTGACTTATCAGCACAGTGTCCCCCTTCAGGTCGTTCTCCATTCGGAGGTCAGCGGTCAGCTGTGGGTCGGTGGACAGACCCACAAAGAAGACAACCTGTTGGGTTATTGGGGGGGGGGGGAGACATTACTTCGTATTTCGAAGGTTTAAAAGAAAAAATCTTGACAACTTTAAGAAATGTTAAGATATTTTGAATGTGTTCTTTTGTGTACACCAAGTTGTAGTAGCGTGTGGAGCTATGGGTGAAAAAGCTCTAAGCGTAAGGGAAAGAATGTAACCGGGAATCAAGGAGAGGGCTTTCAGGGGCGGCAAAAAGGGGGGGGGGTGACAAAGTTTCAATAGAAAACGAAGCGATCAGCTTCGGGAACCACAAAAAGAATCGCTACCACGTATCCTTCTTTTAGTATTTATTTACCGTAATAGTGTACTTTTGTTTATAAA